GATGGGGTGACTGCAGCAGAGGGCATGGGGAGGGGTACAGATGTCATTTATCTGRACTTYTGTAAAGCCTTTGGCACAGTCTCCCAAACATCTTTGTCTCTGGATTGGAGAGATGGATTTAGTGGGTGCACTGTTCAATGGATGAGGAACTGGTTTGACAGTCACATCCAGAGGTCACAGTGGTCAATGTCACATGGACATCACTGACAAGTGGTGCCCCTCAGCGGCCAAGCTGGGACCAGTGTTATTTAATACTTTCACTAATGACATAAATGAATGGATTTGCAGATGACACCAAGCTGAGTGATGCAGCTGACACACCTGAAGGATGAGATGCCTCCCAGGGGGACCTGGACAAGCTCGAGAAATGAATCCATGGGAGTCTCATGTTTTAATGGGGCCAAGTGCAAGGTGCTGCTCCTGGGTCAGGGACAGCCCCCAGTATCGAAACAGGCTGGGGATGGACAGATCAGAGCAGCCCTGCTGAGAAGGACCTGGGGTTGCTGCTGGAGAGAGGCTGGATGTGACCCAGCCATGAGCACTCCCAGCCCAGAGAGMCAAACGTGTCCTGGGCTGCATCCAAAGCAGGGTGGGCAGCAGGGCCAGGGAGGGGATTGTGCCCCTCTGCTCTGCTCTGTGAGACCCCACCTGCAGGGCTGCATCCAGCTCTGGGGTCCCAGCACGGGAAGGACACAGAACTGCTGGAGAGGATACAGAGGAGGGACACCAAGCTCACTACAGGGATGGAGCACCTGCCCTATGAGGAAAGGCTGAATTGAATTTGTTGAGGCTGGCAAAGAGAAGGCTTGGGGATGACCTCGCTGCAGCCTTCCAGTACCTATAGGGAACCGCCAAGAAAGAGAGGAACCTTTTACAATGTCATATACTGACAGGACAAGAGGGAATGGATTAAAACTGAAAGAGAGTAGTTTAGATTAGATATTAAGAAGAAATTCTTTACTGTGAAACACTGAAACAGGAGGCCCACAGAAGCTGTAGATGTCTCATCCCCAATCTTCAAAGCCAGGGTGGATGGAGGTCTGAGCAATCTGCCCTAATGAAAGGTCTCCCTGCCTATGGCAAGGAGGTTAGAACTAGATGATCTTTAAGGTTCCTTCCAACCCAAACAGTTCTATAATCCTGTGACTCAATGACAACGCCTATTTATTACGGACAGAATTCACATAATGAATAATAATGTACTGTAAATAGAGCTAATTAAGTTATTACCACAATTATCCAGACTACTGACTACACTCTTTCCAGCCAAGAAAGAGCAGCACAACAATGTTATTGAAGGACACACTGGATTTACTAGTAAAACCATAGTGGATCATTTCTTTCTTTGCCTTTGTATATGATACTTTCTGTTTGACTCTTATCCAAGTTCAATAATACATCCATGTGGCTAGACAAAGGACAAGGCATGTGTAGGAATGTGCAAATATAGAACAATGAGGTGACCAATAAAGTAAGGCWATAAATTAGACAAAAGGTCTGAAAACTCTTCAGTTTTATACTTCATACCCATTGAACTTATCTCTATATTTTACATCTGTATTAAATTTAGGACAAGAAATAACTCTGTTATCATACGTGCCAACGCACAAAGATGCAATGCATACAAGACTTCAGATAGAAACCTGTTGTTTGTTATAATGAACTAAACTTTTAGAAATGCTAGTCTATTTGAATAGTTAAAAACAAAGAAATACTTTTAAAATATGAATTTTCTATGGAAAAACTATCTGGAAAACAATATTCTTAGGCATGTCCAGTGACAAAGTATCACCTGTGACAAGGCACRTCAATGGAGTGGTCTTCAATTCTAGAGCAGCACATTTCAGTTKAGTTATTTTTGTACATGAGGATCTYCTAAAATTTATATACTGCCTTGAAGTCTGTCATTCTGACTGCTGGACACAATCTATGACCTTGCCCTTAATGTACTCATGTTGGCAAAGCATCCAGCCACGGCAAGGAAAGAGGAGAAGTGTGCAATACTATGCAATGAGAAACAAAATAAARTTTTTATTGTATTAATTGGGATGAGAACACTAGTTATCCCAGATTTTGTGCACAGGCAGGAGATGAGGAAGGCATTTACTATATCATGTATTTCCTGAGACAGTATGGATAKTTAAATGCCAGTATGGATATTTATACATTGTCAGAAGTGTATAAACGCAGGAAAGTCCCTGCAGCAAGATTCAAGGCAATGATGTTTCTACCCCTGGTATTACTTGTTCACTAGTGAATATGCTGATTAAACAGCCAAAACTGTTATGATCTGACAGGCTCCAATACATGCAGGAAAAAAATCCCTTCCAGTCTTTTTTCTGTGCTTGGGAACAACAGACCCTTTGGTGTGCTGAATAAAAGACCAAATTCTGAAATATAGTCATAAGCCCTACCAGCCTGCTYAATATCCCCTGAGGACTTTACCCTGCACCCTGCCCAAGGTCCACTGCAGCCTGTCCCAGGGGTGTTGGTCTCTGCCTGAGCTATGCTGTAGAGTGCTTGTCTCCAGCCTTACCTCTGACTCTGMAGCCAGGGTGGACCCCAGGCCTATGCTGCAAGCAGCTCCTTTCCCTGAAAGATTGCTTGGATAGATGTTGTATCTTATCTCCAGTTTTGACTTTGATCCTGTTGCCTGGGTAGGTCCACACTGTTGCCTTGTCCATCTTTGTCCCATCTCCTGCTTGAGATGAATCCATCACTTGTTGAGGGAGMTGTTACCAGAGCCCTGCCCTGTCCTCCTACTTTCCTGCTGTGGAACTGTCCCCTGGACAAGGAGGGCAGTGTGTGTCGTGCAGCAGGTCTGGGTATCTGGCTCCTACTGCCTTGTGCAGCAGACCCATTCTTGCTGCTCCCTGGACATGGACTGTGCTGCTGATGAGACTTTACACATCTCTCTCAAGAAAATGCAAGCAGAACAGAGAAGAAATGTAAGAGCAGGGCAGCACTCTTATTTTTCTCATTTTTTCATTTTCTGAGGATAACCACTGCTCCCTCAATCCAGTCTCTTCATAAGCAGAAAATTCACTGAGAACATTTACTATTTTCCACTCATTTAAAAGAAAAAACGTTAAATACCGAGCACTGATTTTAGGTTAATTTAGCCTAAATTCTACTAGAATATCACTTCTCCCATAGAAAATAATCTGTTAACACAGCAAYGATTCCACTTTAAAATGCACATTCTCTCTTGCAATAAAATAGTTAAAAGTTTAGCTACATAATGCTGCCAGTATATGCTCCATTGTTTTCCAGTATTTTCTGCTGGGTCTTTTCAGACAAGAAATATGTTCAGATCACATATTTTGGTTACATACCACAAGGCTACTGTAAGCCCACTTCAAACCTCTAAAATCAACTCATATTCTGTCTCTTACTGTGAATTATTTTAATTTCATCTATGCCTAACCTACCTAGCACAAATGCAAAATGGTCASTTTTATCACGGCCGATAAACAATTTGTGCTGTAACAAAATCTGATGTAACTGTGATGTACTGGCCTTGGCTGGCTGTCAGGTGCCCACCAGGCTGCCATATCACTTCCCCTCCAGTCTGCACTGATCCTGGTACCCGCAGAGATGTTTCTCACACAGATCCCCCTTTCTCCTTCCCTGTTGTTGTTGCGTAGTGGGTCTATTACTCTGCTCAAGAATGTTATCACAGAGGGCTACAGCTCTGGCTGCAATGGGTCCATCTAGAAGTGAGCTGAACTGGATCTTTTTAACAGAGAAGCGGCTTCTAGCAATAATTCACAGAAGCCACCCCTGCAGCCCCCCAACTACCAAAACTTTACCATGTAAACCTAGTATCGTACAAGCACAAATGGAGTTGTAGCAGTGTTCCTCCCCAAGCAAAAATATATTAATGGTCCTGCTAGCTGGGCAAACCTAGATACACAGAAAAACAATAAAATTGCTAAAATAYGGTCTTTTACTCTGTTGGAGCTTTAATGTTTTAAATATTCTGTCCAAGAAGTTACTGAGGATGCAAACTGTTACTTTAAAAAAAAAGGCAAATAAAATTAATAGATCATATCTACCGACATGGAGTTTGCAACATTTCTATGACAACTGAACCACTTCCATGACTGATACACAACTATGTCATAGCATGAGAAGAAACTCACTAAGCTTATGGTCAGACTCTCGTGAAAGAGAAACATCAAACACTTACATAGAGTTCAAATTCATTTGACAGCGTCTAGGTTTTGGTAGATTTGCATTTGCATTCCAGTCATCAACACACAACACAACAGGGGACTTAAAACTATAGGATTTTGATTTACTACAAGCCAAATGCTTAACCTCTTTTCCACTAAATATCCTTAGTCCTCTCTTGTATATCATACCATAAAGGACATTTAGTGGGAAAAATCTGAAAGTGTGAAGTGTAATTTATATTATTAATTGTGTATTGCATCTGCTGGGCGATCCAGAAACTTGCTCTCGACCCTCACTCTTCTTAGGGAAAAAGTCTGATTACAACATGAGATAATTCTTAGACAGTACAAGTCTTTCCCTTTCAAGGAATCTCTAAATTGTTTAGACCGATATCCGTATTTTCTAGCTGTACTCTGACGGTGAGGAATCCTTGGGATGCCCTAAGTGGCTCTCAGATAATCTGCTTGAAAAATGGTTATCTTATTTTAAAAATGTTACAGAAGTAACTCAGATCACAATACTAAAAAAAACCCCTAAAAAAATTCAATACTTCTCTTAATAGACCTGAAGTCACTGCTCAACATTTACCATGAGGCATTTCAACCCTTAACATTCCTGTTATGTTAGGTATTACACTAATATATATTAAAATTGCTGACCCTTCCTCAAAAGGTGTACATTTACAAGACAAGGAAAATCATCTACATGTACATGGGCCAAAGCATTGACTGTTGCTTCTGATYAAAGATGAAAACCTGTAGCCACTGCTATAACAGAGATAGTGAATTACTTACTGACCTATTGCAATGCTACTGCATTACCTGTGGTTCCTTATTGTGTTGGCTAGGATCCTTTTCATAACTCTCTGCATAGATCCGGAGAGTAGCTCTCACATGACTAGAAGCACTCATTCTGAAGATGAGTCTGGAAGCATCTGAAAACACAATCCGCAGCCCCTATGAAAGAAAGAAGAACAGCACRTATGTAGGAGGGCAGTACCTTTAGAAATCACCATTCACTGCTTCAAAATAAAAGTGAAAGGAAGAGTCATCTGAATACAATTTTTCTTTCCCTGTAACTTTGGACAACCCATCCATTACTCTTTTTGCCCCTATGAAGACTAGAAATGATGYTGCACATTCCATCCCACTCCTAATAAATATTCTTTTACTGATGTTTTTATCTTTTTGAGTTGATTTGCTCTTATTCTGCATGGCAGAGCATAAATTCAATGACAGTTGTGAGAAAAAAAGATCACTAAAAGTAAGTGGCTTAAGAAACAGCTACAGAATCCCTAGATCAAAAAACAGTTGTCAGCAGTGAATAYAGAATACAGGACCAGTTGCTACTCCTCAAACACTGTGCATCAATATCTGACTGCAAGAATTTCAGTAAGTCTGTGGTACAATTTGGAGAACTTAAGGTGATAATTAATTTCAAGTACACTAATTAAAGCACATTAACGGTCTGCATAATAAGGAGGATTGATTAATTTATTAACTAAAAATTTGCTCTTTGCTCCTATCTTCACACCTTTTTTTCTTTTCTCCTCCCCACTTTTGCACTGTATATGTGAACACATTTTTTAACAGACAACTAATCAAATACTTGGATCCACAGTTTCTATACTGGAAGACCATAAAGACCAAAGGACTAAATTGCACAGATAAATAGTTGTAGCATTGCAATATTCCACCAGCTGTGCACTAATACACATTCTAGTTCCATTTATGTAAATGGTACCCTTAGACTAAGTGCTATGTATGATAAGCCACTGAAATTTTCCTTCCCTTAGTCCTTCTGTCGTCAAAGGCCTAGTGCATAAACTGAGATCCTCGCTACTTTTGCTTAGAGGGCAGTAAACTGCTAAAAATGAGAGAAGATAATTAAAAGAGATGCATTTTATTCTTCCAGTTTTATCAGCACCTTGACAAGACACTGATGTTGGAAACACAGCGTGTCAATATCCTAAAATAAAACCTCAGTAAAATCTTTGTTTCCTCAGATATGTACCAAAATACCTTTAGCACCATATAAAGCACTGTTTGATAATCACAGAATCATAGAATGATTTGGGTTGGAAAGGACCTCTAAAGGTCATTCAGACCTGATGTCATCAGGTCATCATTTTCACTGCAATGAGCAGGGACATCTTCAAATAGATCTGGTTGCTCAGAGCCCCATCCAACTTGACCTTTAATGATTCCAGGGACAGGGCATCCACCAACTCTCTGGGAAACCTGTGCCAGTGCTCCACTACTCCCACTGTAAAAAGTCTTCCTTGCATTTAGCCTGAATTTACTCTTTTAGTTTAATGCCATTAGCACTTGTACTACTGCAACAGGCTCTACTAAAAGGATTGTCCTCATCTTTCTTATAAGTCCCCTTGAGGTATCAAAGGTCAAAATAAGGTCTCTCTGGAGCCTTTTGTCTCTTACTGTAACAGCCAGCTTGGACCTCTCCTTATATCCTATAATCCATATAGTATCCTAATAATTCAAATTTCACACAAAAATGCAACTGACCCATTCCTGGCTTGCTGGATCCTCTGAAGCAGCACTGTTATATGCTTATGTGTGCAAAAGCACAGTAGGGTTTTAGAAATTAAAACTGTCTTCAAGAACCACAGAATGTTCAATTTAAGTCTTTTCATTACGCTGTGATTCATGGGTTTCAATAGACAGAATTAATTAGAWGCAACAGTCTGTGTGTATGGTTTGCTGCCTATTTTCTCGTTGCTGTGTTTGTTTTCTGAATACATTGTTTATTAGCACTGAATAATTATCATGTAGCCAGCTCCTCATTCATGACACAGCGCACTTGCACTGAATGTAAATCTCCCTCCCCTACCTATTAGGGTACAAAACTTGGAACAGGCTCCTGAACCTGTCCGCATGAAGCCTATGACAGTCTGAAAGAGAATGCTGCATTTAGATGATGAGCAAGCTACCCAAAGAAAATGGCAGCAGTGGACTGTTGTTTCATTTGCATATTCTCTCCTATTTTATTGTGTTTCAAGGATCCCACTGAGKCTGCAAACACATGAAGTTAGAACAAAGGACAAACTGGCTGAACTATACTCTGAATAAGTAAGAGGCTCTCCCTATGAAAAGACATGCTTTCTGGTTTTATGGGCTCCCTTTTAGAGTCCGTCTGAAAACAGGCCAAGTCACGTTTCTCTGTGTTACATGCTGATATGATTAGAAGTTTTATTCCAATATAGAGTAAGTGCTTTGGATGAAAAAATTAAAGGAAAGAAAAATGCAATGAAAATTCACAAGTTGCTTTTTTAAACTACAAAGGTCACAAGTCCGCCTTGCCTGTGATTTTCCACTGGACTTGAATATGACAATATCCTCCTATCTTGTTTCAGTAGTAACATGCAAAAAGAGAGTAGTTCAGTGGCAGATGAGCTGCTTATATTTTCTGGATGCATGATGAATGGAACCTACAAAGACTGAGCATGACAACAGTTTTAATGGCTTTTAATATAATTTGCCAGGGTCTTTTTAGGTGAAATAATTTAAAAACCAGAGAAACCAGGACAATAAAAAGATTAAAAGATCAGGACAAACTTTAATATATGTCACAGCCCATATTCAAGATACCTGAATATACATTTACACACAGCAAAAATACATGGTTACTTATGAAAAGATCATGGATTTCCAGATACTGAAGGCCCAGTTTGAACTGCAGTTCTTGATAAAAAAGGAATCTCAGTATCAACAGAGTCCAGAACGAAATGATAATTTGGGCTAGGGAAGCCAAATGTGCCAAGATAGGCTACAACCTAAGCATGTGTCCTGGTTTTATTCAGTCTGATTTTTGGTGGTGGGGGGATGGGACCAAGAAACCACAAAGATGGCTTCTGTGAGGAAGTTCTAGCTTTCTCCTTCTTCTCCAGCAAAATGAGCCCTACCCCTGTGTTTTAGAACCAAACCATTATGGCCCTGAGGTTGATGGACAGGCTGCTGGTCAGGCCTGGGCCAATTGCACAGGTTGGTTACACCTCTGTGATGATGTATGGTCTTATACTTAAGAATTCATAACAAGATAGAGTGCGGCTGCCATTTTGCTTTGAGGTTGGTATTTAGTTTTAATATCATGCACTGGGGAAAAACAGAGCAGGAGAGTGAGAATATGAAAGAAWAAAATGGAGACCCAAGATCACAGTAAGAAGACAGGTGCTGTGCTGTTGCTGTGGTGCTCAAACATGGAGAAAACAAGCTGTTCTCGAAAGGACTAGTTCTTCAGTGGGAGACCTGCATAGAAAAGAAGAGCGACCTTGCTCTGAGGAAAAAAAACTGGCCTTTGAGGACTGGACTGATCAGGAGCCAAAAACGGGGGAAGAGGCTTGGCCGCCGCCTCACGTCTGAAGCGAGTTGACGTTTAGAGGAAATTGTGTTCTGGAGGGGRAAGAGGTGCCCCCATCCCCCGCCCCACATCTGAAGTGAGTGGATGCTTAGAAGATGTATTCTGCCAGGAGATTTGTGATAGTGGCCTTACGCTGCTGAATAGTGCAGTCAGCCTTGAAGAACTGCTTCTCCTTTCTCCCACGAGGTAAAGAAAAGAATCCCTTGCCATCAGCAGTTATACACTGACTGTTTATTGGGAAAAGACCTTCCACAGCTTGGAGCTGTAAGAACGCTTCTTCATAATGATGGATGACAACCATAACGAGTAGCCTGATCTATGTTAAATTTTCATCCCTGTCCCCTTTTGCATGTGGGAAGGCATGGGGGAGTTGAGAGGGGCAACTTGGAAGAGAGCCAGGTTCCCAGAAAGAATAACAGGCGTCTTAAAATGTCTGTTTTCTTTTATTTTCTTCTTGTAAATTTTTCCCTATCTTTGTTCCCTTCCCTGATGCTGTAGTATTCTTATTAGCTTTTAGTAATAAATCTGTTTTGCAACTTAAGTTATTCAGCCTGTCTGACCATTTCTGGAGCATATACATATCTTCATCTCAATGTTATGTTATCTAAAAGACATAAATTTTAATGTTAATTGGGCTTTTGCTCTGCGTTTTGCCTCTCCAGTGGTCGGGGAGGGAACATCACAGGTGCTTTTTGGCTTTCGGTCAAGTTCAAACCCCGACATTCTTGGTGCCATGACTCGGATAAGGGAAAAACGGGTTTAAACCCACAACAGCATGTGTCCTGMATGCTATTGGCTACAATATATAGTATGTAAATCCTGTGAGTCACCAAGCAAGAAATGTTTTGGGTTTTTTAATAATTTATAGCCTGTGGAGATTTCAGATGGCAAACAGAAAAAAGGGAAGACCTACTTTCTGTATGGTATTTTCCACTGCTCTGGAAAGGGAATTCTCCCTACACATGCATTGCCATCAACAGGGACTTCACCCCATCCTATATTCACTGCGATACTATGGTCTCCAGTTATGTGCAGCAAGAGCAAGCTAAAAGTGGATTATTTTATCAGACCAAGCTAATCTTAAGCAGGAAATGCAGTACCTATCAAAGCAAAGGAAACACCATCTCATAAATAAATAGACAGTCTTTGCCAGCCGAACTTTAGAAATAGCACTGCTGGAGATCATATGACAGCTGCAAAACTTTGCCAATCCATCACTATARCCATACCTGTCTTTTGGTCACAGTGCCATCCACAGGATCTACATATTCAAAGCTGTCTGTTCTTTCCACACTGTAGATATTGTTACCCACAGCAAATTGTTGATGGCTGAATGATTTGTCAGTGATCAAAGCTTCCAGGTCTCTCATTATGAAATACGCTGCTCTGGGTTCCAGTGCTTCATAATCAAACCTTGCACATATATTAAAAAAAAAAAAAAAAGCAGAACCAGAAAGTAAATGCCCCAGAGCTGAGAAAACAGTTCTGATTTCACAGAATTCTATATACTCACAATTAGCAATTTACTGCTTATTTTAAAATCAAAGCGGACCACTGAAGTACTGATTGCAAATGAAACCAGCACAAAGATGCAAACCCTGTACAATCTGACCATTAAATGCGTGCAACCACAGTTCTACACAGGCTACCTGACTCCGGGTCAACAGAAATCRTCTAGAAAATGCAGTTTCTAAAGTAGCATAGAAAACATCACCAATACACAGCTAGCTTTCAAAAATTAATGACACAATCAGTGCAGTGCTCAACAGACAAGTTAAACAGAGAAAACTTTGCTAGACAGGAACAGATGTGTGCAAAAGACCTTACAAATTGCAAACTCCTCTGGATAAAGAGAGAGGCAGAAGCAAAGATGAAAATGACAGATAGAACTCACCATATTGAGACCTTAATAAAACCAAGTAAATATTTGTATCTTTGGAGGAATTATCCTGAATTGGAAGCAGGCACAGGTTTTAACTCTCATTAAAATGCTGTCACATGGAGACACTTACAGAAAAAAAATGCAGGACCAAATYTTGCTGGGATTATGTTTCTTTTTCAACATCATGTAACAAGGTGCATCTTATTCCACAAATAATTCTAATCTTTCTGCCATTCAGTATTAGAAAATTCATTTACTCATATGCTAGCAGTAACGTATACCTGTTGCTGCTTTTTCTGCCACTACTAATCTGGAAAAACCTGTTTACAGAACAGTGATAATCTGAGGCAGATTTTCATTTGTAGACACAGCAAATGCACACCTAAGTGAAGCTGAGCACATCTAAACAAGAAATTACTGTAGCAGAATTTTCTTGTCAGCTGCATAAGTGCCTTTTCCTCATTTCTCTCACCTGCAGTAGTAGTGCCGGCCAAATCTTGCCCAGTGATCCCTGACAATCTCCTCCACACTCTGCTTTCGAGCTGCTAGGATTGAAAGCCAAACTAGCACAGCCCACAGTCCATCTTTCTCTCGAAGGTGGTCAGACCCTAAAGAGACAGACATTGGGCACATCATTTTGTACCACTGAAAACAAGAAAACAAGGTAAGGAGGCTGGGCAAATGTCTCATTTAACTGTATATGTCACATAACAGTAACCAATAGTACTAGCTCCAGCACCTCTGATGAGTTCCAGACAGAAAACCAGAACCAATGTTTAAAACATGATCTATTTATGCACAATAAAGCCCATACATCTAAGGGTAAATAAAAATAAGTACTTGAACAGAAACAGTAATAGTAGTATGAAAACATACTTAGTCATTACTCCTGCTCACTGATGTATGGAGTGTTTTCACACCTCTGCTACTCTGCCCTGGAACTGAGCTAGATATGCAAACCCTGCCCATGAGCCAGAATGTTCTCYTCTATGACAGTCAAGTTCAACAGCATCTCCTTATCTCTGCAGATGTTCACCTCTGCAGGAATTCATCTGCAGATGTCAAGTTGCAGAGAAAGAACTTCCCCATTCCATAAAAATTGCAAATTTCCAGAATATTCATAACCTCTTGTAAGGACAATAACCAAGAGCTTTAAAAGACCTTTTCTTGACAAAAAAAAAAAAGTCTCAGAGAGCAGGACTTTTCCTGACCAAAAAAAAAAAAAGTCTCAGAGAGCAGGACTTTTCCCTTTTCTGTATTTCTCCATACCTCTCACTGGTAAAGACATTTGGACACTCTGATCCAGATCTCATCATAGGTTTGTATTTATGAAGAGAGAAACTGTTCCATCAATGAAGACCAGGAACAATTTTGGAATACCCCACATGAGTTAACACATATTCTCGGATCCAAGTAAGATCCAAGACCCCTTGCACTCTGATGGCAATACTGATGGCAATTACATGTGCTAACAGACTCAATAAACTTGAGTTTAATAACAGTAATCTAGATTTGGCTAAAGTTTGTTAGTTGCAGCCTTATGGTTTTCTGTCTAGTAGCACAATATTGAAACTGAGTACAAAGCAAGTGCAGTAATTTAGAAGAGCTATTTATTCCATGAATTACCTACTGATTGTGGAGGCAAGCAATAGAACTATGTGTCCTTGCAGGATAYTTAACAAAATCCACTAGAGAGAAATCTAAAAGTTCTTAGGCTGAAAACCTGTTTTCTGAAATATTCTCCCTCCTCAAACACAAAAATCCTGTTGCAGCAAGGCCACTTTGCAGGGCTTGGTTTAACATAACAGCCTGCAAGGTGTACACAATCATCTGTCAAAACAGGTGTGTTTTGTTACTGGCAGCGGACAGTTCCCATGATATAAAATGGTGCACTGAAGTTGTTAATCCTGTGAAAAACTGTCAACATATTAAAGGCATATAAGGAAAATAACATGTGCAGAGAGACACSATGATTCCTAGGGTTCAGCCTCCCAACCATTGTTGTTGCCTTGAACTTGCAGTCCCTCTTCCTGTGAGAGAGCAACAATCAGGGTAGCAGCCTCTGTCCATTTGCATCTTCTAAGAGCCCACTGGCCTGGGTCTGCAACAGATCTGCCTGCCCTCGTACCCTTCTTGAGTTACATCCAACTTCAACACTCTAAATTTAACATCAATCTTAACATTAAGTTAACTACCACAAGGTTAAATAAATGCAGATAACTATTCAGMACAATATTCAAGTTTTATAGTGATGATTACTGAACACTTGTTGACAAGGATAAAGATCTGCATGAAGACTATGTCTGTGTGCTAGATATTACAGAAAACAAGGACACTGAATACTGCTGATGGATTTAACACCGAGATAGTAACATGAATTCACATTGGCAAAGAAGTTGTCATGACAGTAGGAATACCTCTGTTCTGCTACTCGTAATCTGCTTTGATCTGTAATCTGCAAGCTGTCTGCAACAATAGCAATCTCTATTACAGCCAGAGTTTAGGGCTGGTGCCTGAGGAGCTGCTGCAAGAGAAGGCCACAGCTCACTCTGTTCTCTGCTCCAGTACCGGGTGCTGYGAAAGCATGGAGTGCCAGCCAGTCAGAAAAAAAGGGCAGGATTATTTATGAGCTGTCAAAGCTTTGCAAATAGCTTCAGATAAGAAAGGAAAACAAATGTCCCTCCAGAGAAAGTCAGTCCCTCAGACACTCAGGTCACAGAATCACAGAATYGTTTGGTCTGGAAGGATGTTAAAGGCCATCCCTCAACTTTTCCACTCCCTCCTTGCAGTAACATGCTAGATCAGTTTTAAGGATATCTCCTACAGGAACACCAGCAATATGTCCTATGGATAATAAAATCAGTTTACTTGCAGGCAAAGCAGACAGCAGAGTCACAGTTGTCACCGTAGCCAAGAGTTTGTTCCCAGATAATGGTGCAGGCTTCTGCCCCTGCCACCAATTGTGAAAYCTAGAATAGAGTTGTCACTTCCCGCTCAGCATGCACTGCTCCTCTGGTAACAGCAGAGAAGGTCATCACGACACCACAGAGGCTGGGGACACTCAGGGGACAGGGAAGAGCAGGGCTCCTCTCGGGCAGCAGGGTACGAGCAGCCAGGGCCTGTTCCAGTCCCACTGCCCCCACAGCAGGGCATTCAGGGAATTCAGAGCAGCCCCAGCTCTGGGCATCACACCCTACTGGGAATGGGGCTAGGGAAGGGCCAGGCTGGAATGCAGGAGAATGGGCAGGCCTGGCTTTGGGGAACCCCGGCCAGGCATRGCAGGGCTGTGGGGAGCTGGACACTGGCCCTGCTGTGGCACTGCTGGKACAGCAGCACTGCTGGGGCAGTGGCATGGCTGGGACAGCGGCTGACAGCCCTGGGGCTGCTCCTGGACAGCGTGGGGGAACCCCAGGGGGCCAGCAGAGCCCTGGTAACAGCAGTTCAAAATGAGCTGGCTGCTGCTTTCCTTCTTAACCTGCCTGCCTCTCCTTTCAGCCATTCATCCTTAGCACAGAAAAAATTCCATTTCACCTAAAAGGTCACCTCTGTGGCTGGTATCACCAGCCACTCAAACAGCTTAAGTGTCTCAACAGCCACCAGCAAGAAGTGGAGACATGGAACTGAGCTTAACCCCTCAGCAATTTGCTACAATGTGAGTGACCATTTATTCTCCTACGAAATACTCTGCAGACTGCAGGCCTGCAAATCATTGACTGAAAAGCACTGCAAATATTTTTGAGCAAAACAGTCCATACATCATGACAACGGAGCAACAGGCTAAGGTGAACACCAAAGAGATGCATTCTGATTTAACAAACATTTTCAGTATATTTTGTTGAACCAAAATGTTCTAGAACATGRACAGAAGCATTTCTGAAGCATGAAGAAGCATTTCTTTGCCCTGTTCTGAGCTTTGTTCTGGAATGACTTAAGCTCATAAATCTATATGAAGAGGGTTGAATGTATCATTCTTCATATATATTTAGTAGATTTGGCATGTGCTCTGTCCTTCCATGTCCCTCAGAGGACATAAATTGTGACTTTTCTGGAAAGGAAAAGCAGTGGGAGAAAGCAATCCAGAGAYAAAAGTCTGAACAGCTAGAAGCAATACAGCTGTTTCAGAATTGAAAGTCATCAATTAAAATKCTAGCCTAATCTGAGTAACAGGGACCATAATCCTGTACCCAGGAAGTGTTTCCATTGGTYAGTCTTAATAAAAGGAAAACTGAGCACATCCATCAGTTCGGCTACTGTATGCACTTATGTTGTATTTCTTGCCCTCCTTCTTTCAGCAAATTAAAATCCATTACTACAATTTTGTTACTCTGATTTTCACCTACCAACAGTCATCTGTAGGTGTCTGTGCTCGCTCTCTCTTTAACTCGGTCCTACTGCCCTGTTCCCTACATTGTAGGAACTCTAGGGAGGGAGGTTGTTCTGCTGCCTCAGTTCTCTCTCTGCTCCACAGATCCGATGACTTTGCAAAGGCAAAGGGAAGAAGGAAAACGTGCCTTGCAGCTCTCTACTCCTGAAACTGCAATACTAATACCCCTCCCAGTTTGCTGGGGGCTCTGAGTTACCTCAGAATGATTCTCAGCATTACTTTCAACTAAAACATTCATGCAATTAATTAATTCCTGATTCTGTTTAATGAGATGAAGCATGAAGAGACAACAGAGCAGAGGAATTAACAAATTTTTTTTCTGATTATCCCATTGTATTAAATTTGACATTGTTAAGAAAAATTATAATAACTGCAGGTGTTTCAACAATTTACTTTTAAGTTAATCTGTTATTTCTCCACATAACAGTAGCAAAAGTTATTTTTTACTACAGTAAATTGCTGTGTCCAGATTCAGCGTAAACAACCTGGGAAAAACTCTCAGAGCATGCTCCCATTCATGGAGRAGGACTCAGTTTACATAGTCTTAAACTGAAGAAAAGTCTTCAGAGGCAGCAGCTTGAGAAACAAAGTAAAATCATGCAAATATATTCACATTATTATTTTTCTACTATTTGAAAGCTGACTTACAGTCTGCATCTGAGATACCCAATTCTGATAGGGAAAGCTAACCTTGTGAAGCATATGCATGAACAAAACATTGCTTTTCCCTAATTTTGTAATCCCTGTCCATCATACTGCATTCTGTAAATGTGAATTTAAACAAGGAAATCAAAGGAGTACAAAAACACACAACAAATCATTCCGTTTGCACATACTTGAATCTTACAAATTTACTATCCAGCAGTCTGAAACTTAACAATATCTTAGGCAAATGGAGATTTAGGGGAATTCTGATTTGATCATAYCAAGATTCAAGAGAGTATTTGAGATTTATGTTACTGCAACAGACACCACAAAACAACTCTTCTGAGGTTTTCATTCATTTCAGCAACAGCACATTTCTATGTTCTCCACTAGTTCTTCTTCAACATAATCTTGCAGGAAAAGGAGGCTGATATAAACAGAATCTGGAATTTTGGAGATGACGCAAGCAAATTTTAAAAAGTTGTAGCAATTACTGAAGTGGCTCAAACTGCAGAGAGATAAATCAGCCACACAGTTCTCCCAATCCTGATTAATTGCTTGCTGATGAAATTTAGAAACTAATTGCTGCTGCTGAGGCCCTCCTTTGAACTGAGTSCTGGGCATTAGTCATAGAACCAAAAAGCTACTAACCTCATCTGACAAGCTCCCCACACTGCTACAAAAATGGAAGAAGTTTTTAAAGCACTGGTTGAGTTCCAAGATCAGCTGCCAGAAAACAAGTTTGGGAAATACAGCTGTATGGGATGTTCTCAACATCTTTCTCCTTTTATAGCAGAAAATTTGCTTTTATTTACTTGCCAGAGTAAAGTCCCTTATGTTATAAAACCAGGGCTCTSTACTACTTGGAAATTCCAGCTAGGCTGGATTACCTGGGTACACAAGCATTCGGTTTCCAACACAGTTTGATGATAGAATGTGATTTTTTTAAACTCGTTTCTCTGACACAAGCAATAAGTTTCCCACTCTGATCACTGTATCATACACTTACATAAATATTCCATGCTGAAAGCTAAAGAAATGCCAAATTTCAGTTCCCTAAATAGATACAATTGGGCAAAAGCTACAAAATTGATTCAAATGCCCAATACYGGCAGAAACATGCAAAGGTCACACAGTTTAGGACATTACTAAAAGATTTGCAATAAGGTAAATATTTACTGCTAAAAACAGCTCACATTGCTGAAGTACTGGTCATCCAAAAACCAGACCATGTTTTACAAATAAACCTCCTGGCATATGAGGACACATTTGAGACACCTGCATTAAATTGAAAGATGATAAGGAAATTAAGGCAGTGAGAAAAATAAACTGTAGACATCATAATCATTGCCTAATTGCCCCATAGGTATCACAGAACCACAGAACAATCAGGTTGGAAGGTATCACAACAGRGCATTGGTTCAATATCCCTGCTCACGAAGGGTTATCCTAGAGCACATGGAACAGGATTGCATCCAGTGAAGAAGACTCTACAACATCTTAAGGAAATCTCTTTCCATCACATATTCTTTTACACAGCAAATACACATGCACTGAGGAATTTAAACCCAGTGCTCAAGTTCTCTGGATGCCTATGGGATCGAATCTTGAGTGTCCAGATTTGCCTTTAGATGGAATTGGATAAAATTGGAGGTCAAAAGCCTTTCTGCTTTGAGGAGCTGCTGGTACAACAAAGTTAATCTGATCAGAACATACCGGGATGTTGAGATACTGCTGTAGACCAGCCCTCCATGTGGGCCAGCAAAATGTTGTTCAAGCACCCTTAGAATTCACAAGAGACAGGATTTATCAGGCATCTGAAGAATTGATGACAGATGGAAGAACCTGATTAATACAGGAACACAGAGTGCTAGGAATGTAGAGACTAGTCTGAGGTCAAGAGACAGGAATTGCAAATTTGGAAGGGAGGCTACAGTACAAAAGACAATTGTTTAAGAGCATTACAGAAAGATAAAAGCAAAGAAAAAGGCCAACAGCAAGCAAAGAGAGAAGTTAGGGGAATTTTCTTGCCTATCTAGAACAGACCGTAGAGGCACCTCCTTTACCACCGTGAGTGCTTCTCTTCCCAAATACAAATACACAGTGGCAAATACAACCACTGTTGGATACTCAGGAAGACAAAATTAGACCAAGAGATCACAATGTCCTCACTGTTTCTGTAGATCAAAATACTTCATTTTTATTTCTGTAYGACTAATCTCTAGGACTAATGTCCACCAGTACTTGAGACAACCTGCTTAGTAAAACCTGAACACGCCTTTGTAATGTGAAAGGGAAATTTGATGTTAGTCTTCTTTTATAACTGCACCATAAAATTTTAATGGCAAGTTTCCTGAAAGAAGACATGATTTCTGCTAAGCAACCAATGATTCCATCTTTCTCCCTCAGACAGAAAGCATCTGAAAGAGTCATACGCAACATCATCAGATCAAGATGKTCTAGGACACTAACTTGCCAAGCAGAGACAGATCTGTGGCAGTGAATTGTCACAGTCACGATGTGGCTGTGAGAGAGGCCACTCCTGCTGCTTTTACATACCTCTACACATAAGCTTGGATGCAGCAGGAGATGCTGCACTCTGTGGGCTAAGATACATCAGCCCATGGGAACTCACCATCAAAACTCTTTTAAGTTCCTTCCAGTCAAAACCCACACTCAACTTTCTTCAGCATGATGATGAAGTCAGTCTTTTTTCCAAATAATTTGGGTATCAATTAGGTCATATTGATGTCTCTAGACCTATCCAAGTTTCATTAAAGTCTCTGGTTTTGCATGAGCAAGAGGAACTTCAGTATTTAGAGTGAAGGGGTACAGAAATGGACCAGCGAAAAAGTATTAAAAAGCAGTGAGAGTTGAAAACTCCCAGTTCACACCTCTTGTGGGTTAATGGAGATGCAGTTCAACAACACAACACAACACAACAAATAGCAGTGCATTCGGAAAGGTACAAGAGATACAAGATCTTCCTGCCCGTCTCTCCTCAAATGACATCTCTCTCTCAATGTCCTCACAGAACACCTTTTGAAGGAAGTATCTATTCAAAAGATAAATTCAAGGAAATACRAATCTGTGCCACTCACAGCAAACAGCAAAGGTATACTGTCTGGCAATCATGGGACATTCGGTCCCATTCACAACAAAAAGAAAAYTAACATTCATTATTAATTTCAATTCTCTTCCTTTTTACATATAGGACCCAAAGAAATTGAATGTATTTTAGGTCCTTTCATCACAGCCCATTCAGATTCATACAAGTAAACARGATAACACATGAAGTGACATGTCTATGGCATAAAAGTATCCTCGTTTTCAAAAAAAGCAGTATTCTACTCTAACTGACCCCAGCCAACAAACTTAATACTTGACATAAGTCAATTAAAGCAAAATGAAATCTGAAATCAAGTTTCATGGCATGGTAAGTAACTTTTTACAAAGAGCTACAGCCAAGGAATTACACAAAATAGAGAACTCTATGGAACTCACATCAAAATACAGAATTAACTATTAGCCAGGCAAACTATTAAGTTATTCTGGTCTGTGCTTTTTCAAAAAGACTTGTAAAATAGCCCTAGTAATAAATAAGAGAAAGAATTTTTGTGCCAGAATCCAGGAAAGAAAAAAAATGAAACATGGAAATTTATTCAGTTATTCTAATAAACTAAAACCACATTTGTGCAGGTTTACAGAGTACACAGTTCATGTATTTGCTCTAATGGTTACTGTCAAAACTATATTTCTGATRGCTCAAACATGTCATTCACTCTGCATTCTTTTGTTTCATTAGTTCTGGTGGCAGATAAGGGAGAAATACCCAAGGAAAACACAGAATGCTGACATGTAACTGATTTCTTCTAATGATGATTTTATCTGAGGCTTGAGCAATTGTGATGTTCTATAAAGAGATGCCTGCAACCATTTKGTTTAGATATACCATTAGATATACCAATCCTCATACTTTGTACACCCTATCATTAGCAAAAAACACGTGGTTTCCATATAGGCAAAATCCCTCCATATGCCATTACTGTCTGTGAAAAGACTTGCAGCGGAACCAGTGAGGTCTTTCTGCGTTATGCTCCAAGCCAGAGTACAGTGCCAGATACCATCAAAAACTGTCCAGATAGAAGTATGATTGCTTGCCAATTCTCAATATCAATTTTGTACATTTTTTTCACACCTCAAGGTGCTGAACACCACACTTGTAAGAAGAACTTCAATATGTGAGAAATAGACAGTTATCTGTTTCAGCACAAGACAGAACTAATTTACTATTTCTTTTGGGTTTGATTTAAAGCATCTAGGAAAATTAAAAGTTTGTGGTAATGTTCCATTATGTACTACTTACCAGTGCCAAAACTCTCCTCTCCACAAAGTGAACAACGTCCAGAGTCCATGAGATTGGAAAAATATCTCCATCCTGCTGGTGTCTCATACACAGGAACCTTCATTACTTTTGCCACTCTGGAAAACATACMATAAAAATCACACGATTAAGACAGTACCTTTTTTACAACTGARGTCAGTTGAGGAATATTCTAGGTCTAATTAAAGCTCCTGACATCTGGGCTAGAAGTATAAAAAATCAGTCAAGAACAGATCGACACCACCATGTAAAACCTATCTTTATCAGAGCACCTAACTTCAACCAGAACCAATGTATGTTTATACATTAAGRGTAGTATTTTGGAAAATATTCAACAGGCCTTACCAGTATCTTTCTCTTCTTACTGAGCAAGAAACAGCTAATCTAAAGATGGACAGTTTTGTTATACTATACATTTGAATGAAAATATATATACTATATATATACTTTTATATACTATAATATTTGAATGAAAATTAAAGTACCATATTGAAGCACCATCTTTTATGAAATACAGGCAGTCAATATTAAAACGCTTGAAAGATACTTTTACTTTTGTCAATCTGTTCAAAGACAACACAATACAGGAATGCTCACTGAATGATGCAGTAGGTCCTTTAAAAACCTTTTCCAGACTCAACCTGAATATGAACTTATTTTCCCTGTCTCCTCTCATGTAATCGATGAAAGCCTCCCACTATCTGGGCGACGTGCCAGTGTTTTCAAGAACCAAAATTAATCACCTTATAAGCTGGATGTGCATTCTCTTCCCCAGCTTGTTAACTGGTAAATATTTCTGTTATACACTGTAATGAAAAAAATCCTTCCTTGGACTAAAAACAAGAAAGAAAATCCACCCAACAACTCTAAAGAACTCTAAACCCCAAGATGGGATTTATGCACAATGAATACTACCAATCTTCTTGTTTCTAATTATATTTGATGGTTTTCATTGTGTGCCTAGGATTTTCAGAACCAACTGTTTTATAATATAAAAAGTTAGAACTGAGATACAATGAAGCAATCTGACCAGCCATCAAGGACCTGATGATTGCTTCAACTCTGATACCTAACAAACGTTTCCTGAAGCGAGACAATTTACATAATTATAACTGCAGTCAAGCCAAAGAAAAGCCGATCAAATGTGGATTCAACACATTTAACACAATCCATCTGGAAGTATCAAGGTGAAAGCATTTMCCCTTCTGATCAACACAGAGACACTTCTTTTCTGATGGCGTATTTCTCTGTCTTAATTTAAGTGCATAAAGTAGACGTGATGAACCGCCCAAATATGCCAGCACTGACCCCTTTATGCACTTGGTACATAAATATATGTATGAATCACAGAATCATCAAGGCTGTAAGAGACCTTTAAGATCATGTAGTCCAAATGTCAACCTAGCATGACCATGATCACTCCAAGTGCCACATCCAGATACTTGCTGAACACTTCAAGAGAGTTACTCTCGTAACTCAAGTAACTGTTGCCCACCTCCTGGGCAATTTCTTCCAATATCTAGACACTCCTCCAGCAAAACAAAATTCCTAATATCAAATCTGAACCTCTCCTTGTACAACATTAGGCCATTTCCTATCTTATTTTCACTTAAGACGTAGCAGAAGAGATGGACCCCCACCTGGCTACACCTTCCTTTCAGGCAGTCATAGAGTGATAAGGCCCCCCTCAGCCTCCTCTTCTCCAGGATAAACAGCCCCAGACATTTCAGCTGCTCCTAATGGGACTTGTGTTCCAGACCCTTCAATCAGTTCTGCTACCCTTCTCTGGACACGCTCCAGCACCTCAGTATCACTCGTGTGATAAGGGCCTGAGCACAGGGTTTGAGGTGTGGCCTCACCAGTGCCCAGCACAGGGGGACAATCCCTGCCCTGGCCCTGCTGGCCACACCATTGCTGATGCAGGCCAGGATGCCATTGGCCTTCTTGGCCACCTGGGCACACCCTGGCTCATGTTCAGCCGCTGTCACCAGCACCCCCAGGTCCTTTTCCTGTGGGCAGCTTTCCAGCCACTCTGCCCCAGCCTGTGGCACTGCCTGGGGTTGTTGTGACCCCAGGGCAGGACCCGGCCCTGGCCCTTGTTGAACCTCACACCCTTGGCCTTGGCCCATGATCCAGCCTGGCCAGATCCCTCTGCAGAGCCTCTATCCCCTCACTCAAATAATTGATAAAGATGTTAAACAGGASCAGAACCTGTACTGAGTCCTGGGGAACACCACAAGTGATTAGCTACCGACTGGGCTTAGTTCCATTCACCACCATAAGGGGTKATGGGACAGTCCAGCCCTTAAGTATTTTCTCTGTAATTTTTACAAACACAGTCTGCACTGTTATAAAGTCTCCAAATCAATCTTTCTTTTATGCAAGAATATCCACTGCTATCTAAGTTTCCTCCTATTCAGCCTAGGTGTTCATTTTTGTACCTGAATATTACATCTAAAAAGAATGGTTTTTAAATGAGATGGAATAAGAATTGCTAATATTTATTTGAAAAGAGCTAAAAATGTACATGAAGGGAAATATCGAAATATTTACTCCTGAGCTCAGATTTCATACCTCTAGTTTAGAGGCAGAGGTAGGTATGTACCTCAGAAACCAACAGGTTTCTGTTTGGCTTTGCAAAAAATCAAGAACATAAAAGAATTTAATCTCTGTGTGACTTCAAGTGGAAACAGGACTGTGCCGCCAAAAAAACCCAATAAACGAGAAGGCAATACCTAACATGCTGGAAGAGTAAAACCAATTCTCTTGAGGCAGCCTAACAATACAGCTGGAGTATGTTTGCTTGCAGAAATGTTCCCATATCCTGGCAGAGTTTTTGAAGAAGGAAATCCTTTCCCTTTCATTTCCCTGTATTCCTCTAGTCAGGGAACAAACAGCCTAGGACGGACTTACCCTGACCAGCACTAAGAGCTTCCAGAAGCTGCAGCCATTTTCAAGTACTTCTATGCACTAAGTTAGCAATGAAAATACAAATTGTGTTTGTTTTTGTTGGCATGTGGGCTCACTTGAAACTAAGCCTCTCAAACAAACATAAATATATATGTACAGACATTATAGTATGAATAGTTTATAGCAGGAATATGATAGATTGTTCCATGCAACTCCTTTTTTTATTTTGTTTTTGGCTCTTAATATTTTAACAGAGTAAATAAGTAGAAGTACAYTGAAAACTAAGCATACTCCTTTTTCACTGACATTTTACTGACATAAAAAGTCATCCCTGGAAGTCTCAATAAATACAGAATGTGCCTTTATGCGCCTATAGACATTCAAGGTGAAAAATCATCCCATAAAAAATGTGGGGGTTCCCAYGGGAAGCTGCAAAAATTCTCAAAGCTGCAGACTCTGAGGAATAATATGCTGCATTAGATCAAACAAATAATCACACGAAATACAGGAAAACACCCTCACAGGAAGGAAACAAGTATGTGACTGTGAAATTATTAGATCTTCAAAGCCAGGGAAAACAGAGATTAGATGGGAGAAAGGGGAGTGATTTTTAACACTCCTACATCTGCATCTTTCTAAATTAAAAATATGACTGGTATTACTTCAGTGGAGAAAAAGAAAAAAGAAAAAAGTTATCTTCATTTATCAAAACGTCTTTTTTTTCACTTTATATTTAACAGTCCGCCTTTTTATAGACAAAATTACTAAATTAAAGCTTTCAATCATTGCTAGAGCAAGAAGCCAGTTTTTTTCAAAAGAAGTTCCAGTTGAGACTGGTAGAATCCCCGTGAACCAAAATATGGAAATTACTTTCCATGTACCACTGAACTGAATGCTTCCAGCACATGGCTTCATGACAGGCTTGATAGATGCTAGGCTAATAAATGCTTACGGTAACGGTTTCAGGAACRTGCAATGTTGCAAGAACTGCTGAGGAGTCACAGTAAGGATTTTCACCTCTAAAAATCACTGATCCATTAATTACATTTTACAATGTTTTCAGCAACGTATTTTCAAAGAATCGTTCAAACAAGCCTATKTATGTACAGCTTTTTAAGTTTCTCTTTTTTCTGTATCTAGAATTCCTGAATTTGAGGAGTTGGAAATGGGAAGTCAAGTAGCTAAGACAAAGAGTCTTTTCTATATGAGATCTCTTGATGAGACAGGATACTACTTCTCTTATGGAAGTGAGTCTTGGAACTGGTACTGCAAAGSGTTTACCTCTTGCAGAGGCCTCACACAGCAGAGTAAATTTTACATATCCTTATATATGCATAATGTATCATCAGCAAGATATTGATTGCAGCAGTGCACCTGCAAACCTCAGACTCTGAACTTTTATGCTGTAAGTTTTGGCTGTTAAAAGGCCTGACTTGAAGGATGTAATATACTTCCAGAGCAATTAAAAACAAAAACTGGAAAAAAATTTGCCCTATAAGTAGGTTCACTTTGCTAGTCTGTTTGAAGAAAACRCATTATATTTATGTCTAATCACACAACTGATATACCTGTGTTTATATGCTCCATGAGTATGAACTATGTAGAAAGAATACAACAAACCATGGACATTCTGGTTCTTGTCATCTCAGACATGTAATGGGACTGACTTCAAACACCACTCTTGCTTGTCTTCTTTCAGTGCAAGTGCTCACTACATCAATGAGATTATACAATAAAGTTTCTTCAGTCTCTGTGTAGCAGTAATTAGCTCTTGCTAGACTAAGAAGCGAAGTATTTACACATGGAACTAAAGTGAAAGGTAACCTGAGTTATAACCTTAGAATAATGTTAGTTAGTCTGCCCATATCAGAACTAAGGGGCATGTATGTTCCCAGGATGCTGACATAAAAATTAAGGGGAAAAAGTTAAATCATCCCAGAAGAGTGGACTGTATTTTCTACAATTACACGTTATTTAAAACTGTATTTTGTGAATTTTAAAAAAGCAGGAGCAGATGCTTTTAAATGTGAAGATAACAGAATGAATCAAAATAAGAATACAAACCCTTGTACATTCCATAGTCAAATTTACCCTCCTACTGTTTCACAGTTTCACTGTCATTTTTATTTTGAAGAGCTAGTCCTATGCTACCTATACTGACTGCCCACTTTTTATTCAAACACGAGGA